CCAAGCTGATGCAGAGGCTGGCTTGCGCGCGCTCTCGTGGGTTTTAAAAATTGTCACCTGTTTATTGGAGCCTGGGAACAAAGACCAAGCTCGTAAGAGGCGGCTCATTACTGTCTTACTGACCTGAGATTTACTGGAGCAGCAATGACGTGTTATTTGAATGGGAGCACGTCATCTTTCCGTAGCCTTTGCCTCCTGGGAGCGCCCCATGCCCCCTGCCAGCCGGAGACACTGAAGGAAGCTGGGGATGACTGAGACATGGAGAACTGACCGTGGGTGCCGCCAGCAATGGTTGGTAGCGGGAAACAAGCTGCCCGAGGTGGGACGGGATTGTTCTCTCCACCTGGCCAACCACAAGCTCCTGTTGGGGCCCGGGGAGCCGGCAGCACCAGACCCTACGGGGAAGGCAGAGGTGCCTGGGCCCTTCACCAAACCTCTGGAGGCCGACTGGCCCACGCTGCTCCTGTCCCCAGATCTGCTGGCTCCGCGTCCTCGTGGTCTGTGAGTAGAGACAGGACTCAGTTCCGTGGACACCCTCCTGCTTTCTCTCCCTGCCCTCCACAGCACCCTGTTTCATCAGTGAGACACGTGTACACTTGTCCCTCAAAACCCCCTACAGGGCAGCCGAGCTCCCCCCAGCAGCGGCAGGGGGACATCGGAGCAAGCGTTTAGGGCCTGGGCCCCACCTGTCAAGCCAGGCCTGTGCCCCTCACGGGTGCTCAGCAGGTGATGGTAACGTGGATCAGTGGATCGATCGGAGGGGCGGTGAGCGCTAGATGGGGTGGGGGTGGAGACAGAGCCATGCTGACGGGCAGCACATGAGTGCATTAGCCTGATTGGAAGCTGTAGGGGGGCAGGGGGAGCAGGCTGGTGGCAGGTTGAGTGGCGAGTCTGAGGGCAGGGTCCTCCGGCCCAGCGCTGTCCTGCAGAACCTCACGGTGAGGATGAAAATGTATTTCTTTCTGTCCCACGCAGTAGCCGCCGGCCACGTGAGGCAACGGAGTACCTGCAATGGGGTCAGTGTGGCCTCAGTGCTGTTTTTCATTTTATTTAATTGTAATCAGTTTGCATTTAAATAGCCACCGGCAGCTGGCGGCTAGCGTGTTCGATCGTGCGGGACTAGAGGAAAATCGTGCCAGGCTGCAGAACGCGATGCGAGGGCTGCACTCGTGATAACCGAAGCTGCCGTTCATCGAGTGGCTCTTACGTTGATCCTCAAAGCAACTCAAGGGTGTAAGTGTTTTCCCACTTCGCAGACGAGAACGTCTGAGGTTTAGAGAGGTTTTGGTAGCTTGCCCCGGGGCCCACCCAGGTCTGCCGCCCCCTAAACCTGTGCACGATGCCGTGTGGCTTCGGAAGGAGCTGAGAGCCACGTTTCAGGAACCGGACTTGGTTCTAGTGCAGGACGGCGTGAGGTGCAGACTCAGGAGTTCGGAGGGCTCGAGATGGCTCCGGGGCTGGGAGAGACGATGATGCTCCCGTTTCTGGGGCTCCCGAGTACAAAAGCAGAGAGAGGATCCCAGTCCTGGTCGGGGGCTGCTGTGGACTGAATGTTTGCATCACCCCAAGATACCTACGTTGAAGCCCTTGCTCTGACGTGGTATTTGGAGATGGGGACTTTGGGAGGTGAGTAGAGGAGGTCCTGAGGGTGGGTCCCTGTGATGAGACTGGCGTCCTTATCGGAGGAGGAGGAGGCCAGACCTCACTCTCCACCATGGGAGGGCACAGCAAGAAGCTGCCATGTGTACGTCAGGAAGGGCCCCCCCCGAGAACCTACCGTGCCAGCACCAACCGGGGCGTCAGGCCTCTGCAGATGTGACACACACGCTTCTGTTGTTTCAGCCACTCAGTCTGTGGTGTTTGTTACAGCAGCCTGAACTGACTGAGAGGGGGCAGAGGCTGTCCCCTCCCCCTTGGCTGTGTGCATAGGGCAGAGGCCCGGCTGTGAGGGCGCCTGTGGGGTGCAATGGGAGGCCGCGGGGCTTCCTGCTGACAGCTGGAAACCTCTCCCCCCACACTGGGAGACAGCACGGAGGGCAGGGCCAGACTCCCCAGCCTGGGCCGCTGCTCCTGGAGTTAGCATCAGGCCACACCCACGGCCCCAGCAAAGCTTCGTCCCAGGCTCAGCCCCTGGCACCTTCTCTGCCCCTTGTTTTGAGAACCACCAGCACGTGCCCGGGGACCCGCCTGAGCAGAGCAGTTCTCTGGAGAGCCTGGCACCAGCCTGGCACCAGGGCAGGGGAGGGTGTGACCAGCTCTCCTGAGATCTGAGCAGAGATCCCGCTTTACCCCCAACGAGCCGTGTGACCTCGGGCAGCCGGAGCCATCCCTGAGCCTTTGTTTCTTCATCTGTGTAATGGGGATCAGAACGCCCGCGTCCCTCTTACTCTGTGGCCTGGGCCGTGGTCCCTGGTCCGACACCTCGGAGGGGCCGTGGTCCCTGGTCCGGTCCCCGGGCCCTGGTGCTCACTAACTGTGCCGTGGGTGTGTGATTCCCTCCTGTTCCCGCACCATCGTCTCGTTCAGCAGCCTGCGCAGGGCACTCTGGGTATTTGTAAGGTGAGCGGCCCTCAGCCTGTGCATGTGTAAAGAGTGCAGAGGGAGAGCTCACGTGTCTGAGAACCACACTCGTTTCCACCTGTTCCCGTGTACACAGCGATGCTGGGAATCTGCAAGGAAACAGAGCTAACGAGCATCAGTGCCTCCCTTCTTTCTCCTTTACCCGGAGAGGAGAGGCCCACGCTGTGGTTCTGGAACCCACCTCACAGGCTGATGGGGTCCCTGTTGTAGAGGTAGAAAGATTGGGAGCGAAGGGTGGGAGGTGGAGAGAGGCTGCTCTCTTGGGGAAGGGGAGAGTCACCGGACTGTGTGAGGGATGGTGGCCTAGGGTTCCGGGGGGACAGGTTACCGGTCCTTGGAGGGGCTGAAGTCCAGCCTAGCAACAGTCCGAGACCCAAGACTGGCACAGACGTGGCCACGTGCTCCCCCTCCCTCTCCAGGGGCCACAGGAGCCTGGGCAGCAAGCAGGCCAGCAGTGAGGGTACGGACGGCGCTCAGGGGACCCTCTGCAGATGGGCTGGGCTGTCAAACACCCCAAGCCTGGGACCTCTGTGAGAGCTTGGAAAGGGGCCCTAATGTGGCCGAGGCTTGGGAAGATTTTCCTGCCACCCAGAGGGGCAGGAGCTTGGAGCAGATTGCGTTTTATTTGGAGAATTAAAAGAGAGGTGACATTTCTCGAACCTGACCGTTGGATGGTAGCAAATCCGTCCCCCGCAGGAACGTACCGTAGCTTCCGTCCCGCGTGAGCTTGCTCCCCCCTCCCCGGGGCACTGAGCTCAGCCGCCCGATCGGGCCAGTGACCTCCACACGCTCGACACGGAAGCCAAGTTGGTGACCTTTTCCTCTCCGTGGAGAGGTGTGCTCCTTGCTGAGTTAGCAGCCTGCAGAAAAGGCCAAGCAACAGATGCCGCCTTCCCTCGGCGGGGGGCTGCAGAGAGCCCCCACCCACGCAGGGACCGCGTGTGGCAGAAAGATGGATGAGCTGGGGCACAGTCCTGAGGCGTCGCCAGCTATCGCTGAATCAGACTCCGCCGGGGTCAGCCTGGAGCCGGCCTCAGCCCCAGCAGATCCACCTCGGCCTCCCAGCATGCGGCCTCTGGCCTGTCCCACCTCTGCCTGTGGCCGCGCGTTCAGGGGAAGCAACAGAAGTCCAGTCACGCATCCCATGATGACGTTTCGGCCAACAAATGTCCCACCCCGTTATCATACCACATTCTTACTGTACCATTTCTACGATATATTTAGATACAGAAATGCCTTCCGCTGTGTCACAGTTGCCTGCGGCATTCGGTACAGTAGCACCTCATACAGGTTTGCAGCCTGGGGGCCCCAGAATACACCAGCGAGCCTGGGTGTGCAGCCGGCTGCACCATCTCGGTGTGTGTCTGTGTGCTCTGTGTGGTATTTGCAAAATGGTGCGATCACCTAACAGTGCCTTTTGTATTTTTTAGTAGAGACGGGGTTTCACCGTGTTAGCCAGGATGGTCTTGATCTCCTGACCTTGTGATCCGCCCGTCTTGGCCTCCCAAAGTGCTGGGATTACAGGCGTGAGCCACCGTGCCCGGCCCATAGTCTTGTTTTTAAGTAACACTAACTGTATTTATAAATTATGAGCTTAATCAACCTTGCTTAAAGCAAAGCCCCTTTCCAGTTCTCATGAAGTGCCTGGGCTTGGGGTCTTTGAGGGCCCAGCACGTCAGCAGACTGTAGATTCTAGATTCTGGCTATTTCTGTGTCCAGAGAACATGATAAAATGTCTCTAGAGTGTGACCTGAATCCGTGGTTGCCATGTGGACCTGAGCAAACCCTCAGACTCTGCCAAGCACCGGGTTCCTCACCTATAACATGGGCCCGACGTTGGCGTAACTGGGGCACGAGGGTCACTAAGCGGCGCTTGGTGTAAAGGAAGCGCTCACGTTCTTACGAGTGTTTCTCGCGATTGCGTCTTCCGACGTGTCAGGCCCGCAGGCGAGTTTTGGGTACGATTTTACGCGAATGTCTGTTTCTTTGGTGAAGCACATTGTTTCCTGCCCCATTTCCAGGTAGCACCACGACCCGCTGTGTGAAGCCCAGATCACCTGCTGTCGTGTTTGCCTGGACCCTCCCCGGTGCTGGGCGTCTCGGTTTTATCCAGTTCTTTGCTGTCAAACACGGTGCAGCTGTGAACGTCAGCAAGCTCAGTTTCCTCGCTGTGACTAACAGAACCGAACTCTGGGGGGAGTCGGTATCGTGGAGGTCCGTGGATGGGGCCATCCATTATGTCCAAAGCCAGCTAAGGATTTTTAGATGATCTGTGCCTTTGAGGTGATTGATTCCTTCTGTCCTGAAGCACGAGACACTCCTTGGCAGATGCCAGGTGTCCCTTCGTTACAGTTGTCCGAGTCGCTTGGTGGAGGAGGAAGCGGCTGCCATCTTTACAACCCATGTCCTCTCTCTCGTAGAAAGTCTGCACCAAGTGTGGGATCGAGGCCTCCCCCGGCCAGAAGCGGCCCCTGTGGCTGTGTAAGATCTGCAGTGAGCAAAGAGAGGTAGGGCGTCCAGGCGGGGTGGGGTGGACGGTCAGGGTGGCGGTGAGGAGTGCTGGGTGGGCGATTTGCCCTCAGATGGGGAGAGGTGGATGGTCAGGGTGGCGGTGGGCAGGGCTGGGCGGGTGGATGTGCTCTCAGACGGGGATGGGTGGACAGTCAGGGTGGCGGTGGGCAGGGCTGGGCGGGTGGATGTGCTCTCAGACGGGGATGGGTGGGCGGTCAGGGTGACGGCGGAAAGCGGTGGGCGGGGCAGATGTGCTCTCAGACCGGGGTGGGTGGATGGTCACTGGGAGGGGTTTCTCTGGAGGTTAAGGAAGAACTGACCACCCAGGGGAGAAAAGCGTGGAGGGACAGCCTGCTGGCCGGCCACCTCCCCCACGCAGGGGTGGCAGGTTCTACAGCTGGGAGCGTCCGAGGTTTCAGCGGGAAGCCCCGCACCGTGAGGGTGAGAGCGTATGGTGTTTGTGGGGGCTGGTGTTACGGGAACGGTTTTAGCTGCCCCAGGATGAACGTTGACTGTGTACCTGGAACTGCCGTAAGTTCCTTGCACGTGTGAATTCATTTCATCCCTACACAACCCCGGTGGTGCGATTCTTATCCCCTTTTCCTGTTGGGGAAATAAAGACGCAAGAGGTTAAATAACCCGTGAGCACCGAGCCAGCTCGTCGGGAGCCGGAAACCAGACTCAGCCGTGGTCACGATGCCGCTCGAAGCCCCGTCTGCTGCTACGGTTCACGGTTCTAGTTCCAGCCCCATTTGAGGGAAGGAAGTCGAGGCTCAGCGAGGACTCTGGGGAGTGGCAGACGGTCAGGGATGGTCAGAATCTCCCTGTGCCAGGTCGGAATGGAGCCAACGCGGCAGGACGTGGCAGGTGGCTTGTGGGAAGTGTCCTGGGGGGCAGGGCGGGGACAGCATGTGAGGGGCGAGGAGGCTGCAGCTGGTCTTCCAGATGGGGATTCATTACTTTTTAAGTCTCGCTTGTCACTTGGTATGTACTTTTCATCTGAGGGTCCACAAAACACCTTCAGTTCTGGAAATTTCTCCGCCGTGAGGTCTTTGAATGTGGCTCCTCTGCCATTCCTTCTCTCCTCTCTGGAAATCCCGCTGGATACATTTTAGAGCCCCTCAACCATCCCCCACGGCTCTTTCTTGTTTATTTCTTTATCTTTCCGCGATACTTTCCGGTGAGTTCCTCGGTACCGCCTTCCAAGTCGCTAAGTCTTTCCTCGAGATCACCTCCCCCTTGGTGTCTTTCTGAGGGTTAGTTTTCCTCGGGTGTTTCGGAATTTTGGTTTGCGCGCTCATCTTGTGTGATAATGGTCCCTTTCTCTCTCTTTCCCACCCAGCTCTTCTAGCTGGATAGCTTTGCAGCTGCTCCCACCTGGGTCCGGGGTTGCCTGGTGCTGAGCCAGGCGTCCGGGGCTGCCCGGTGCTGAGCCACGCGTCCTGGGTTTGTGGCGAGCTGCTTATCCATGGTGATACCGGGATTATTCCCAGAGCCTCACCCCAGCTGCGACAGCGTGGCCCGGCCCTGCTGCTGTCAGCTTGCTTTACTCTGAGCTCATTTCCTCGTATATGCTGTAGTCCCGGGGCAGGACCCTGCTGATTTCAGCCTCTTTTCCCAGGTGGAAAATCCCCTCGCCAGCCTGATTTTAGCGACTCTGCTCTGGTCCCCCCCTCCCAAGGGACACTTTCAGTCCCTGCACCCTGGAAGACCCATCTCCCAGCTGCCTGTGTCTGCCTCTGACAGACAGAGAATAAATGCATTTATTCACACGGGCAGCTGACACGTTTATTGAGCATGTCCTATGTGCCAGGCAAAGCAGTTCTTCCAGTGGGAGAGGGAGACCACAAACCCCGTAAGTTCTGCAGAGTCACAGACGGTGGTCAAGGCCTCGGGGCAAAGGGGAGAAGAGGTGCTGGGGACACTGGCGCGGCTGCTGGCTTACATGGGGACCAGGGAGGGGCCCACTGACAAAACGACGTTTGAGCAGAGATCTGAAGCATCTTCTGTGGCTATGTGGAGGGGAAGCATTCCAAGTAGGAGTACAACAGGTACAAAGGCCCCAAGGCAGACGTGTGTGCTCGGCAGATTGGAGGCACAGCGCGGAGACCAGCGTGGCAGGAGTTAGGCTGGGGCTAGGGAGGGGTTGTCAGGTGTATTAGTCTGTTCTCACGCGGCTGATAAAGACGTACCTGAGACCGGGTAATTACAAAGGGAGGAGATTTGATGGACTCACAGTTCCACATGCCCGGGGAGGCCTCCCAACCACGGCGAAAGGCAGAAGGCACATTTTACACGGCGGCAGGCAAAGAAAGAATGAGACCAAGTGAAAGGAGTTTCCTCTTATAAAAACATCAGATCTCGTGACACTTAGTCACTACCACGAGAACGGTCTGTGGGAAACCGCCCCCTCAGTTCAATTGCCTCCCACTCGGTCGCTCCCACAGCACGTGGGAATTATGGGAGCTACAGTTCATGATGAGATTTGGGTGGGGACACAGCCAGACCATATCGTCAGAGACATGATAGGGTGGGTCAGATCGTGTCGGTGCTTAGAGACCTTTGGAAGGACTTTGGGTTTAGAAAGTTGTTTGTTTACTTTGTTTTTCTGAGATAGGATCTCACTGGGTCACCCAGGCTGTAGGGCAGTGCCACAATCTCAGCTCACGGCAACCTCTGCCTTCAGGGCTCAGACAACCCTCCCACCTCAGCCTCCCAAATAGCTGGGACTGCAGGCTGTGCCACCACGTCCAGCTAATTTTTTGTATTTTTGTAGAGATGGGGTTTTGCCATGTTGCCCAGGCTGGTCTCAAACTCCTGAGCTCAAGCAATCTGCCTGCCTCAGTCTCCCGAAGTGCTGGGATTTCAGGCGTGAGCCACTGCACCTGGCCAAGACTTTGGTTTTACACTCAGTAAAATGAGGCGCCCTTGGAGGGTCTTGAGTAAGGCAGAGACAGAATCCCATCTCCCCCTCTTTTAAAGGGTGCTCTGGCTGCTGTGTTGAGAATAAACTGCAGACTATCTCAAAGCCAGTAGCACAGTATTTATTTTTCTTATTTAATATCGCCCAGATACGTAAGTTCTTGTCTGTTGTTACCTTTGGAAGTTTTCATTTTTTTTTTTAACATATATTCTATACATGTTACTCTTTTCTGATGATAAAATTAATATGGATCATTGAGGAACATTTTCAATTACAGATAAGCATAAAGAAGTACACACCTTCCAAAAATCCAGAATCAGAGATAACCGTTGGAATATTTAGTGTATTCCAATCATTGTTCTCTGCCTTTTTTCTTTATATTATTGAACCTGTGTTTTAGAATGGATATCTTAAGTCTTTTCTGGTGTAATCAATAACTCTTTGTAAACTTTCTTGTTGATATTCTGTCATACAGATATTTTCCTAATTGAGGACATTTAAATTGTTTTCATTTCTTCTCTTATTACTGTGTGCATAGCTCTTTGTCTCCATTTTAGATTCTATCCTTGGAATGGATTTCTAGAAGGAAAATCAATGATTATTTTCTTGTAGACTCTTGAGTTATTATTTTTATTTATCTAAGAATTAGCTGGTCTATAATTTTATGTAATTTAAAAAATAAGGGTGCATGGATGGTACGTTTTCTGAGTCCAGGGGTATCTGATACTTTTTGCCTTTATACAAAAAAGACCACTTCACTGGTAATGCAATTAATCCTAGTCTTTCCCACTTAAAATTCTGTGGATTTTACCCCTGTTGTCCACCAGCCACATGAAGAAAAGCAGGAGAAATGGAAAATACAACAGCTAGGACAACGGTACCCAGAAAATGAGAGAGAATAGTGAAGTGGTGAAAGAGATGATAAACGTGTTTTTAAAAATTACTTAAAAGGTGTAAGAGAGGCTGGGTACGGCGGCTCACACCTCTAATCCCAACACTTTGGGAAGCTGAGCAGGAGGATCTCTTGAGCCTAGGAGTTTGAGACCAGCCTGGGAAACACGGCAAGACGTTTTCTCTGGAAAAAAAAAAAAAATTAGCTGGGCGTCGTGTGCACACCTGTAGTCCCAGCTCCTTGGGAGGCCGAGGTGGAGGTGGCAGTGAGCTGAGATCGTGCCACTGCACTCCAGCCTTAGTGAACAAGGCTCATGAAGGTCTTTAGAGCAAGACCCTGTCTCTAAAATAAAACAAAAGATCTAAGAGAAGGAATAGAAACCAGTTTGAACAAACCAGACCTTTGAGAAAAGTACAAACAAATTTGAAAAAGAACCCCAGGAACCATTTTCGTTCCTAAAAATGAGAGATCTCCTAATGAATTTTAAACTCAGCTGAACTGTATTTTAGTCATTTTTGTTGTTGTTGTTTTACATGTGCACAATGTGCAGGTTTGTTACATATATATCCATGTGCCATGTTGGTGAGCTGCACCCATTAACTCGTCATTTACATTAGGTATATCTCCTAACGCTATCCCTTCCCCCTCCCCCCTCCCCACAATAGGACCCGGTGTGTGATGTTCCCCTTCCTGTGTCCAAGTGTTCTCATTGTTCAATTCCCACCCATGAGTGAGAACATGTGGTGTTTGGTTTTCTGTCCTTGCGATAGTTTGCTGAGAATGATGCTTTCCAGCTGCATCCATGTCCCTACAAAGGACACAAACTCATCCTTTTTCATGGCTGCATAGTATTCCATGGTGTATATGTGCCACATTTTCTTAATCCAGTCTGTCACTGATGGACATTTGGGTTGGTTTCAAGTCTTTGCTGTTGTGAATAGTGCCGCAGTAAACATACGTGTGCATGTGTCTTTATAGCAGCACGATTTATAATCCCTTGGGTATATACCCAGTAATGGAATTGCTGGGTCAAATGGTATTTCTAGTTCTAGATCCTTGAGGAATCACCACAGCATCTTCCACAATGGTTGAACTAGTTTATAGTCCTACCAACAGTGTAAAAGTGTTCCTGTTTCTCCACACCCTCTCCAGCACCTGTTGTTTCCTGACTTTTGAATGAT